AAACAAAACCGAAGCATACCTTCATGCTATTGTTTCACAGAAGTTTTCAAATTTAGCTTTTATGCTATTTTAAATATTCGTGCTTCATGTGTTGAAGAGGAGACTAGAAATCATCAAAGAAAGCTTTGTTTCACTAACACCTTACTATATTGCGCTTCTATTTTCTAACTTATTTCTCTTCTTTTTCCTCTTCCTTGGTCTACAAGCTCTTTGATTTTTTTCTTCTCCACTCCTTCTTTCATCCATATCCTCCTTGTTTAAGCAATGCAGACTATCAATAGCATCCCCATAGTCAAGTAACTGATTTCACAAGAACCAGTGGATAACCAGGGGTCTTTGCTTGACTGCAGGCATGGTCAGGAATAGACATAAGCTTAACTGCCCAATATTCGTGAATAAACACACAGACTCCAGGTAAAGGAAATTCAGAATAGCCCAGATGGGCATTTTGATGACACATACTGTACACCTACCTTCAAGCAATTCAAAATCTTTCCTGTCATTCACTTGTTGGTGACCACAGAATGGAGAGGTTCAGAAAGTTCTATGCTGAGGCTAAGTTTCAAGGTTCAAGTCATTAGTAACACAGTAATACCTCCTAGAATGGAATTCCTTTTCTAAGTGCCAAGAAGTCTATAATTTACTTTGGCAGGAATTCATGGAGGATTTTCTTTCTTTCTTTCTTTCTTTCTTTCTTTCTTTCTTTCTTTCTTTCTTTCTTCCTTCCTTCCTTCCTTCCTTCCTTCCTTTCTTGCACATGGGAAAGGAGTTGACAGAGGCACCCTGCCACTTGAGGAGAACTGATCATTTATTATGATGATTGCAGTACATGCCGTATGAACCTGATTGATTTCTGAAGTATCCCGGGAAGAGTAACAGTATGCGTCACCTCCACATGTTGTCGGTCTTTCGGCTCTGGCAAAGGAGAGAAAAGCCTCAAGTGTTAAATATTAATCCAGAAATCATGCTTCAGCTTCAAATCAATAACTTGAGCCAGGCTTGAGTTCAATTTCTTCATCCGTAAAATGGGGAAAGAATAGTAACTACTTGGGAACACTATGAAAAGGAAGAAATGAAATAATGACTATGAAGAGTTCATCATAGAGTCTGGCCTAGATATGAAAACAATGGTGATTACTGTTATATTTGTTCCAGAATTTATTCCTTAAGTGTTTCCTATAGCATGAAAGTGGAAAGAAGTTCCCAGTCAAATACAGAAACATCAGTCCCGACTACCTTCTTTCCTAGTTGCAGTAGAAAGTGTGCCTTTGCAATATAGATGTGTGTATTATGTGTGTCTTTATATCTCTTCTTACCCCACTATTCACACCGTTCCCTCCAGCCCCCAAAAAAGGATAGAGGAGGAAGGAGAGTTTGTCGCTGAGTTAAAAAGACTCTGCCTATGAAACACAGTTGAGTAAGGAGAGAAATGAATGCTCTGAAAATGTCTCCCCATGTTATCACTCAGAAAACCTAAGAAGAGAGCGTGTAGGCTTACTTGGTCACCTATGAATTGTGAAATACCTGTTGTGAGGATGTGATCATTTCTGGGTTCAAGGAATCATTTGTCTTTGGAGTTTCTTTTAAGAGCTTTGGGATTCCTGTTCATGTTTTCCCTTTGATTTGATGGAAAGAAAATGCTCTGAATTTGGGCTTGGCTTTGTAAATAAAGTATTTCTTTTCTTTTTTTTTTTTTGGCACAGGGTGGGGATCGAGGAGCAGGAGGGTGGGAACACCTGGTGATGCTCCAGGCTTGCTCTTGGCAGTACTCAGGCTCCTGCATGTAAAGTTTGTGCTCTGGCCTGTTGAGCTATCTTTGGCCCCTAGTGTGATTTCTTTCAAAGTAAAACTTAGTCATCTAAAATTTGATACAGTTATCTCACTGTCATTTATAAGGGGGTGCAGTGTGGAAAGAGGTTGGGCCACACTTGGGTGGTGTTCAGAGCTTACGCAGGGATTATTTTTGCAGGTGGGGAACCCTGGGTTGATTATGCACAAGGCAAGCACACTACCTATTGTACAGCCCCTTATCTCACAGTCTTAGTGAGATTTGGATCACCTATATTTATGCATTTTTTAAAAGTTTTTTCTTTTAATTTTTAGAAAAATTTGGCACCATGATTTATTCAAATAACAGAGTTCCAGGCATTCAATGTTCCAACTAAAATCCCACTCTGCCAGTGGCATTGACCTTCCTGGTCAACCCAGCCCCCCCACTCCCCACTCCACCTCTTTAGCAAACTCATGCTTTAAAATTTTCCTAACATGAGGCTGACACCTAAGGATAGTAGATACATGGGACAGGAAGATTGCTCCATAGCTGGATGCCTGCCTCATGAGCAAAGAGGAGAAGGCAGCTGGAATAGAGAAGGGATCACTAAGAAAATGATGACTTGAAGAACCGGTCAGGATGGGAGATGTGTGCAGAAAGTGGATCAAGGACCAAGTATGATAACCTCCCAGTGTCTGTATTGCAAACCATAATGCCCCAAAGTAGAGAGAGAGTATGGGGAATATTGTCTGCCATGGAGGCAGGAGGCGGGTGGGGATATACTGGGGATATTGGTGGCGGGGAATGTGCACTGGTGGAGGGATGGGTGTTTGATCATTGTGTGATTGTAACCCAAACATGAAAGCTGGTAACTATCTCATGGTGATTCAATAAAATGAAAAAAAAATTACTTATTATAGTGACCAAAGATATAGTATAGAGGATTGGGCACTTGCTTTGCAACTGCCCTTTGCATATGATGTTAGGGTTCAATTCCTGACAACACATAAGTCCAGAGCCCTGCCAAGAGTGATCCCTGAACCTCCTTCCCCAGAGTTTACTATAGCTTGGGCTTCATGGCTACACTTGAGTTTGTTCTTATGTTTTTCTTGTTTGTTTCTGGACCACACCCAGTGGGATCACCAATATTTGGATCCTTTTAAAAGCTAGCCTGAGCTCATCAGCAGATGTCAGTGCTGAGTTTTCTCTTTCTGGACTCCTTGCTGTTTGCTTTGTTTTTTCAGCCTGCCGTGCTATGAGTTGACCTGTAAATAGTTTGTTTAGAAGGCAAGAAGTTTTCTTCCGGGGAATGTACTTGTATGCTTTACTGTGTGGAAAAATGTTCCACATGTGTGAGTTGTATTTGACTTAGAGACTGCAGTTTGGTACAGCAAAAACAGGAATTTTTCAGGCTGAAGAGATAGCTCAATGAGCTAAGTGCATGTTTTTCATTCGGGAGACCCAGATTAGATTCCAACATCAAACGGCCCTCCCCAAACAGCTGGGATTGATTCCTCAGCACCTCTGGGTGTGATCCAAAAACAAAATAAAGCAAAAAAAAATTTTTTTTTCTGTATGCTAGCAGTAAATGCTAGGAAATTTCTAGATGCTATAAAATTATTTAGTCTTGATATATTGATGTTAATATTAAACATACGAAATAAAAGGTTTAACATCCTTATAGTGGGACAAAATCTCATCTGAAATTGTGTGGTGTGTGCGTGTGTGTGTGTGTGTGTGTGTGTGTGTACGCACATGTGCAGTGGGGTCTGAACTCAGGACTTCACACATTTACCCACAGCCTCTCAAGTAACTTTTGATTTTTAATTGTATGCAAGTTATATCCCATTTGAAGAGGAGAAAAATAATGTTAATACTGAAAAAAATCATATAAAATCCTCTCTATGGTCACATAGTAAGTCTCTTATAAATAGTTTTTGAATAAATGAGTGGAATTATGTAGTCTGGAAGGACAGATAGAAATCTGGGTGCACTAGGAATAGTACAGATAAGCACCGGGAGGATTGCTCCATAGCTTGGAAGCCAGCCTCACACACTGGGGGAAAGGGCAGTTCAGATAGATAAGGGACCACCAAGAAAAGCATGCTTAGAGGGCCTGCTTGGGATGGGAGATGCGTTCTGAAAATGGGCTATAGACCGAACATGATGACCACTTAATACCTCTATTGCAAACCACAACACACAAAAGGAGAGAGAGCAAAAAGGTATGCCCTGCCACAGAAGCAGGGCAAGGTGGGGGTGGGGGGATGAGGTAGGGTTTGGGGGAGGCACACTGGGATCATTGGTGGTGGAGAATGGGCACTGGTGGAGAGATAGGAACTGAGCATTGTATGACTGGCACGAAAGTTTGTAAGTCTGTAACTGCACCTCAAGGGGGATCCATTACAGAAAGTAAATAAAATTTAAAAAAATGAATAAAAACAGACAATAAAAAGCTCTAAAAAATCTGGGTGCAATTGATCTGGCTTTGTTTTAGTTTTGATTCCTTGGGGTCACACCCAGAAATACTCAGGGGCTACTTCTGGCTCTGTGCTGAGAATTGAGCCCTGAAACCACTTGGGTGACCATATGTGGTTCCAGGGATTTGAGCCTGGTCAGCGGGTTGCAAGGCAAGCATCTTATCTTCTGTACTAGCTCTCTAGTCCTCTGGGCTTAATATAATGATGTGAGGGATGTGGTACAGAGAAGAGTTCAATGAATTATTAAAAAACTTTTAGGTAAAATGTCTCATGGAGAATCAATTATTTGATGAGTTGGCTGACAACAGGTTACAAAACAATTTGAGTAGCCCTGGCTTAGACTGTTCAGATATGAAGCATAATTGTCAAGAATCTTGTCCACAGTTAAAGGATCCAAACTTGGTTACCCCATGGAAATGGACATAGATTGTTTTCCTGTGTTTGCATTCTAGGCTAACTTACTAAAATCTTAGTGATGAATTGATATTTGATAAAATATTACCTAAATCTTTTTGGTTCTATGCATTGCTCTGCACTTAAAAAATTTACTTTGGAAGTAAATAACCTAATTTTTGGAAATTTAGGTTGCTTATATCCAGATTTTCCTACCCTTCTTTTCTATCTTGTTGCTTCTTTTATTTTTTTCTTGGAATTGGTTGGATTTTACAACAGATTTCTTAGCAGACCAGAACTGATGTGTGAGCCCTCTTGCCTTTTTGTTGTCTTGTTCTCTTAAATTGTCTTTATAGTCATAAGATACCAAGATGCTGCGAGTTCACAGGACCAAACTAGGCAGGCTGGGGCTCTGCCTCTCCAAAGGTCTTCACCGTAAACCTGTGATGGCTGTGAGGCGAGAGGATGTGAATGCCTGGGAGCGAAGGGCACCTCTGGCTCCCAGGCATATCAAAAGCATCACCAATCTGGGATACAAAGTTCTAATACAGCCTTCCAATCGGCGGGCCATTCATGATCAGGTAAACTTTCTGAGTATTGTAAATATGTATGAATAAAGTGGACCTGTATGTAATCAGAAAAAAACTAGAGCAGCTGAGTGAAAATACAATGATTGCTTTCGTTTAAATACTTCGCAGCAATGTACCTCTAGTTTTCATGGTCAGATTTCCAGGTATCAACTTGATTATCCTTATTTGAGTCCAGATTTCACCAGTAAGTATTGTTTTACTCCACTCCATGCTTTCTCCAGTATAGGGATGGAGGGATTTATTTTAGATGATGATACCCTTTGGTCATTCTGTCCTTTGTGTGCAGCCCTGACTCTAGAGCATAGAGGCAAAGAACAAAAGATGCTACTCTTATTCCATGGTAAATGCTTCACTGAACAGAGTTTTATTCTTTTTGTTCGTTTGTTTTTGGGTCACACACACACAGCAGGACTCAGGGCTTACTCAGGGCTTGCTCTATGTTCTGATTCACTCCTCACAGTACTCATGGGACCATATGCAGTGCAGGGAATTGAACCTGAGTTGGCTGCATGCAAGGTTGGCCTTAACTCCTGTACCATCTCTCTAGCTATGAACCACATATCTCTTATTTTAATTGAGAGTTAAGTCATAAAGTTTTGATGCCTTTATTATTGATCCTTTAGTTATTATCATCTAAAATAGAACACCCCTTTCAATGTGTCTTTATTTTATTGATAGTAAGTCTTTTTGAAAAGTCTAAACCATTTGACTTAAAAGGAATGTTTGACTTCTGAGTTTGGCTGCTTCCAAAGCATTTTTGTCAAATACTTTTAACATAAGGATCCAGAGCAATCTTACAGCAGGTTTGATTCTTAGCCATTTCATATGGTTTCCTGAGCCCCACCAGGACTGAACCCTGAACACAGAGCCAGGAGTAAGTCTAGAACACAACGGGTGTGGTCCCAAAACAAAAACAAGAAAAACAACAAAATACTTTTGATATGAATACTAGTTTAGTGAGATATGCTTTTTCTATTGTATCACACTGAAGTTAAGCTGACACATGGTTTAAATGTTTTATTATTTGCTTGAAAGTGGCTATCGTCATTGCGAAGTATCTTTCTCCTTTTAGTATGTAGAGAATTAACTGCAAATAGTCATCCATATTTGCATTATTCTTTAATACCTCTTGCTGATATTACCAGTTTATATTGCCCATGTCAATTTAGCATAACCCTATTTAGAATTTTAGGTTAATTTAAATTACCATGAATGCTTCATCATTCCACCTGAGAATGATCTCAATATTCATTAAAATAATATGACTTAGATTCTGCCAATCAAATTCTTTCATAAAGAAATTCAGCTTCATTCATAGTGATCCTGACTTTTAATGATATTTTTCTTTCTTCACAAGTATACTTAAATCACTGTGATAATGGTTATGAGAAAATTATAACTTAAATAGTAGTGTATGATGATTGCCCTTTTCACTGGACAGAAAAACAAATCAATGTTATGTCAATAAAAAATAAATAAGAAAAAATAATTGGCTTTTTTTTCTGTGCTACAAAAGAGGGGTGGCGCAAAAAAGATAGTCAAAGTGTTAGATTTATAGTTAGTCAGCAAATAGAAATATTTGATGTAGCTGTGCTCTGACCTGTTCAAATCAACACATATTTATTCCTTCAAAAACATGTGTCTTTAAATGCCAAATGTGTTTATTAAAGAAAATATGAATAGACAAAATCAGGGGAATAATTTTCAATCAAAATGAATTTTCTAGGAGTATGTCAAAGCAGGAGGCATTATTCAAGAGGATATTTCTGAAGCATGTCTAATTGTGGGGGTTAAAAGACCCTTTGAGGAAAAGCTATTGTCCAAGAAGACTTATGCATTCTTCTCTCACACAATAAAGGCTCAGGAGGCCAATATGGGCTTGTTGGATGAGATTCTAAGACAGGTAACTGGTGACCAATGTTATCAATAATAAAGTTGATTGATACATATTTCTAATTCCCTCCCTCTTCCTGCTGACCTTTGCTGTTGTTATTGATGTGATTGTTCAATGAGTGGGGCTGCACCCAGGTCCAACAGTGGTGCATGCCCATTTCTTTAGCTGTGGTGCTCTCTTGGGGTTGCACATCAGGCCATGGAGTTTGCACACTCTGCCACGTGGGTACATTCTGGACTTTTCATGCCTTATTTTCAGTTACAGTGAACATGTGCTTGCGGGCAAGGGTGGAGCACTCCTAGTTGAGTTCTTCAACTTGCCGTGGGTTGTTACAGTGCTCACATTTGTGTTTGCCAGAGATTCCACTTCCTGGCTGTTTTGCTAATATAACTATTTTTTTGAGTGCCAGTGCTCCAAGAGGCTTCCACTCCTTTTTGTGATGCTCTCACACACCTGGTTGTGGTGCAACTGGAAATCACTTGTGGCACTGGGAATGGCAGACAGCTGAGCTTCCAGGATTATCCTTAGTACCTTGTGGGGCACGAGGGATTTTAACTTGGGACCACTTGCATTAAAACAAGTGTCTTCAACTCCTATGTTATTCCACTAGGTCCTAGAAAAAGAAATTTAAGACATCTTGAATTAAGGTCCTTGCCTTACTTGTGGTCGACATGCATTACCTTGCATGCAAGGATGCTTTGGATACACTGCATCGTTCTTGAGCACTGCTGAGAGGGTGTCATGAGCACAGAGCTGGGAGTAGTCTCTAGAACTCCAAATAAGTTTCTTCCCAAAAAAGTCTTTTTTTTCTTTTTGGGTCACACCCGGTGATGCACAGGGGTTACTCCTGGCTTTGCACTAAGGAATTACTCCTGGCGGTGCTTGGGGGACCATATGGGTTGCTGGGAATCGAACCTGGGTCAGCCATGTGCAAGGCAAATGCCCTACCCATTGTACTATCTCTCCATCCCCCCAAAGGCTTTTAACTCTCAATGTAGCTTTAATTTCTTTTCAGTATGTACAATATGCCTCATGTAATTCACCTAAACTGGAAAGTCAAATAGTTCTACTGCTCTTAAACTTCCTTTGTGATACCAGTCTACAGTTATAAATCAAATCAAAACAATTTTATTCCTTGATGTATTCTAAAAAGAAAATGATAAAAATTTTGTACCTTGATGACCCATTCTTTCATCTTTAATAAAAACTTGTAATTTGTGACCCTAAATTTTCTGAATATCTTCTCGTATATAAGATGGTAACTTACACTAATAAGTTATGGTGTAGTTTATGAGAAAAAATGTGAAATGCTGGGTAATATATGTGCATTCTCTCACTGGAATTAAGTTTTATGGATCTAGGTGATAGGCATTTTTTTTATCCTTTCAGGAAATCCGTCTGATTGATTATGAGAAAATGGTGGATCATCAAGGAGTGCGAGTGGTGGCATTTGGTCAGTGGGCAGGTGTGGCTGGTAAGTCTTCCCGGCATCTAAATTACAGTTGATTAAGGTATAAATGTCTGTTTTCCCATTTCTGTGATGAGAGGAGAAAGGAGCGTGTTCATCTCTTTCAATAAAAAGAAAGATGGACATATGATTAAAGGTAATGAATATCAAGGGAGAGAATAAGAAGGAAAATGGTTAACCTCGATCTCTTACATGAACTCTAAAGCAAGAATAGAGAGAAAGAGAAAAGCCATTAATGAGCTCTGACTTTCAGTGATTCTGTTCAGAATATCAGAAGGTGAGAGGTACACGGGTGATGGGTATGGTGTTGGAATCATATGTGTGAGAAGTATTATTCTCACACAAGTAACAGTATTGTAAACCATAGAATCAATAGCAAAATAAAAATGAAAACAAAAAATAAAATGAAGATGAAAAGCCAGTTTGATAACAAGGCGTTGGGAAGTTCAGGAAAGGGAAACAAAACAGATTCAGGAACAGAAGCCAGCAGAAGAGATTGGCAGATTTACCTGGATGAAGCTGGAGCTAGAGGAAAAAATCCAGTTGATTGGTTTTTTTGAAAATTTTTTTTAGTTGAGAAACACCACTATATAGTACAAGATAATATTTCTTATCTGTATCAGCTAAGACTACTGCAAGGTCAAAATAAGTCATAATACTCTCCTTGACTTTGGCATTATATTTTTTTGGTTTGTTATATAAAAGTAAAATATTCTGTTTTATTTTTGGCCACTGCTTTACTCTTCTTAATTCCCTGCCTTTACTCCTTTGAAATTAATACCTTGCTAAGTTCTATTATTCCAAAATTATGGTCAATAGTATTTGTATCATTTTGGGGCAAAAATAAATTTGGAAACCTATATTACGTAAAAAATAACATTTATTCTATTTTTCCCAATTACTAAAAATTCTCACTCAAATTTGTTGGAATGTTTGAAAAATTATCTACTTTTAGAAATAAACAATTTCAAAAATGTCACAAAATTTTACCCATTTTTAACCTTAATGACAAAAATTTTGGAAATAGCCACAAAAATTTAGAAAAAAATATTGAAATGCAAATTTCTGCTTCCTTAAATAATTGTTTCCTATTCTAACCTTCACTTCACACTCTTTCTCAACAGCACATAAATCTGTACCATCAATGTGACAAAGAAATTACTTGACTTGAAATGAGTGACAGGGTGACTCTGCTGACTGTTTTTCCCATAGACTTATAGGGTTGACTCTATTAAAGGCTTTGAATAGAGAGAATGAATACATAAGAAATTATTCAATTCATTCTGAAGTTACCATGTTCAGAAGTAGCATGATATCTATGAATCAGATGTGATTCTTACTCTTAGATATTCAGACGAGTAAACACATAGTATCATTGTTATAAGTGCTATTTGTGCTAGGAAGAACATTCAGCTGGGTCTGGCTATTGAGGAAGCTTCTCTTAATAAGTAGGTGCCTTGTCACCAGAACTTGGATGGTGGGTGTAGCAAGGCTCATAAACATAAGTGTAGTTCATATTCTTGAAATAACATACTAACCTGATGTAAACCATTGCAAACCGATGGTAAAGAGACTCTACACCTGTACCCTTAGGGCTACTTCTTGATTGGTGTTTGCAAACCTCTACCAATGATGCCCTGGATGGGGTTGGAAGGGAACCATTGAAATGCTGGGTAGCGAACCTGAACCTCCACATGCAGTATATGTGTTCAGCCAGAAAACAGTATCTTGCAATATGAAGTATGAAGAATGCATAAACATAATCCATGGGCTGGAGAGATAGTACAATGAGCAAAATGTTTGTCATGCATGCTGCTGACCCGGGTTTTATCCCCAGCATTTCATATGGTTCCCTGAACTCTGACAGGAGTAACTACTGATGCCATAGCTATGAGAAAGCCTTGAGCACAGACAGGTTGTGCACCTTCCCCTTCTTTCACAAAACACTATGCAATGACATGAGGAAAGAGAGTGAAAGTGTGCAGAGCCCTAAGTACTTGATATGCTATTATAGGGAGAAGTGACTATTGTATTGAATTGGCTTTTTTTCTCCCCAAAAGAGAATTCACAAGGGATACTCAAAGCAATACTTAATAATCATACTGATGAATGTTTATTAAGAAAAGAGACCTTGTGAAACAGCTCAATGGGTTGAGAGCATGTTCTGCAGGTGGGAGGTTTGGGTTTGCCAGGACTGACACTGCCCCCAACACAGAGCAGGAGTAGCCTCTGAGCACTGCTGAGTATTGTGCAAAATCAGGAAGGAAGGAAGGGAGGAAGGAAGGAAGGAAGAAAGGAAGGAAGGAAGGAAGGAAGGAAGGAGGGAGGGAGGGAGGAAGGGAGGGAGGGCAGGAAGGAAGGAAGGAAGGGAGGGAGGGCAGGAAGGAAGGAAGGAAAGAAGGAAGGAAGGAAGGAAGGAAGGAAGGAAGGAAGGAAGGAAGGAAGGAAGGAAGGGAGGGAGGGAGGGGAGGGCAGGAAGGAAGGAAGGAAGAAAGGAAGGAGGGAGGGAGGGAGGGAGGGAGGGAGGGAGAAAGGAAGGAAGGAAGGAAGGAAGGAAGGAAGGAAGGAAGGAAGGAAGGAAGGAAGGAAGGAGTAGAAAATATAACTCTCAGCATGGGTTTTTTTCTGGCCATTTCCTTTGTTCCCTGTGTTGGGTGTTCTAATTATTTTCCTTCTGCTGTATTACTTTCCAGAGGAAAGGAAAGCCCTGGCACTAGATGATTTTCTCTCCTCAGGTGAACCACCCAGTATCAAGTATCATTCTCCACAACTTTGGAAGCACAATCATTAAGAATTCTGTCTTTCTTTTAATTCCCCACTTGAGATCACACACTCTTAGGGTGCTTTGGTTCTGAGCAGTTTTCTCTTTGGATCAACATTCCTGAGGGTCTTGAGTGATATCCAGTTCCTGACTAAATCATTCTCTAGAAAATTAAGAGGAATGTGCATTTTAGAAACAGAAGGTGGAGGATCTGGTAGCTAGTTTCAAGGGGAATACAATAAAGATGACTAAATTGGCCAATGATTAGGCTCACCTAGACTTGCAGGAATGGAAAACTTGGGAGGAAGATAGTAAATAAATTAGGTAGAGGGCAACACATAAATAAGCCAACTTTGTATATTAAAGAAACTCCACAAAGTAGTCACATAACTAAGACAGAAATCCAGAGGTGAGGAAACCTAGGACTTGTGAGATGAGGATAAGGCTTTCTTGTTGAGAACTTTCATACTTAAGATGCAGAAGACTATCCTTTGCTTTAGGACCTAAAGAAAAATATATGTTTTATACACTTGGGATTATAAGTATACTGATGATACTTGGCATTAAAAATTGAAGAAAAGAGAGTACAGAACATAACCCCCAGGATGACTAATACGTAAGAAAAGGCATAGGACTAGAATATAAATGGAATATCCATTGGAAAAAGAAACCGTGAAGTGACATGAGCAATGTTCAAGTCAGGGATGCAGAGAGTAGAGTGTTGAATAAATAGGAGCCCAGCTTGGCCGATATCTGACAAGTAAGCAAGGTCTGACACATGTCCAGGTGTAGAAAAGTTGAAAACCATTGTCTACCACCTTGGTTATAACTGCAGACCCATGAACAGCTCAGAGGATAAATGCCATCGAGACATATAAGGAGATTGAAGAGTGTTGATTTTGCCCCTGAACATAGCTGATGAGGATCTTAGGATCAAAGTAGGCTTTACTTTTATTTGTTTATTTGATTTGTTACGGGATGAATGGATTCTTTTTTAAATGTTGTAAGAATGCTCAAATAAGGAGGCATGGAAGAAAGAGTAATTCAAGACTGAATTTCTTTGATTGGCAGGGAGGAATAGAGCTTGGAGCAAAAGTTCCGGGACTAACCTTAGACAAGAAGAGGGATATGTTTCTATTTTAACAGGGTTGAAAGTAAAAGTATAGATGGAAATGCACCTACATTAGTGTCTTTTTATTTTTTATTTATTTTTTAAATTTTATTGAATCACCATGAGATAGTTACAAGTTTTCATGGTTGGGTTACAATCACACAATGATCAAACACCCATCCCTCCACCAGTGCACATTCCCCACCACCAATATCTCCGGTGTACCCTCTTTCTCCCACCCTCCCCCTGCCTCCATGGCAGACAATATTCCCCATACTCTATCTCTACTTTTGGGCATCATGCTTTGCAATGCAGATACTGAGAGGTTACCATGTTTGGTCCATTATCTGCTCTCAGCACACATCTCCCATCTCGATCGGTTCCTCCAACCCTCATTTTCTTAGTGATCCCTTCTCTGTTCCAGCTGCCTTCTCCCATTAGTGCTTTGGATGGCAAATATTAGTGAGATTATTTAAATAATTCCCCTGAACTCTTACAAATCTGAGCTGTCTCTTCAGGGCATCAAGCTAGTTGAGATGGGACAGGGAAAGCAGATTCAATTTCAGCTAACTAATGTTCTTTCTATTGGTCTGATTCCATCCTAGGGATGATCAACATTTTACATGGAATGGGTGTAAGGCTCCTTGCTCTGGGACATCACACACCTTTCATGGTGAGATGGTTGGTTTCTTAATGTTTTTGAAGATACATCTCAAACTGGAATCACAGAGTTTTTTCAGGTGATAGACTAATTTGAACCCCGTATGCTTACTTTCAGCACATTGGCATGGCTCATAACTACAGGAACAGCAGCCAAGCTGTACAGGCTATCCGTGATGCTGGCTATGAGATATCTCTGGGTCTGATGCCAAAGTCTATAGGTCCATTAACATTTGTGTTCACAGGGTCTGGTAATGTATCAAAGGTAAATCTGCCTGTCTTCTTTCTGTAAAACAATCTGAAATTCTGGAACTAATACAGAAACTGTGAGCATTTTGTCGGCACATTGCAGCAGCTACCTTCCTGCTTTTTTTTTTCTGTGAATGAGCATTCTAATTATGATAATTGTTTTCACTGTGTACTATTTTCCATCGCAAAGAGAAGTTGTGACCCACACTTCATCTATTTGATTTTAGGTGATTTCTTATTTCAAGCTTTCAGAAGCTTCAAATGCATTTTCTTTTTCTTTTTCTTTTTTTCGAAGAATAACTCATGGCTCTGGTGTAAAGGTCTGGTCATAGGGACATCTGTTTTCCTAAGATTTGCAAAAGCTTGGAAGTGATCCCAGGATTAAACTTTTCAAGTTGGCTTGGGTTTTTAGTTAATAATCAGATGTATATGTATATAGAAATGTAAAATTTCAATATTTACTATATAAAGTATGATAATATAATAGGAAGAGTAATTTGGGATTGGAATTAATATTGTTTGTTTTCTAGAGTGGATTGGAAGGGAATGCATTTCAAAACTTGAAATTATAGAAATATCTCTCCTAAAAGAAAGTGCTTTTTTAATAGGACACTAATGATATATTATACTGTGAAACAGATATCTAGTTTTCTATTGCAAATAGTTTGCATGCTTGAAATAATTTTGCAGTGAAGTAAATATAGCCAGAAATATTCTATTTTTATTTCAAATCTAAACATTTTTGTTTTTATTACAAATAATTTAAATGAAAAATAAAAGTAAAGTCTCTTTTAGTGAGTTATACTGAAAGTGGGATAAGGGGCCAAGGGGAGGGCTGAATTCCAAGGACTGGAACACATACCTCATTTGTGGAAACCGTAGGTCTGATTCATGGTGTTACATGGTTCCCCTGAGTGTTGAGCTGGAGGTAGCCCCTAAGCACTGTCAGATATGGACAGAACCAAAAAGAAACTGGAATTAAAGGTGGTTTTTCAGCTACATGCAAAAAAAAATCCATCTGTAACTTCTGTTCTGCAGTTCACGTTAGAGGATAGAACACATGGATTTATAGAACTATAGGGAAAATGATTTGAAATAGTTCCAGGAAACTCATTTGCCACTACTTTTTAGATTTTAACTCATTTATTCTTTACAGGGAGCTCGAGCAATGTTCAATGAACTGCCTTGTGAATATGTGGAACCCCATGAATTGAAAGAAGTGTCTCAAAGTGGAGGTAAAGTAGGAGAGGAGGGTGACTGTTACCATCTTAAACTTGTTCTTAAAAAACAGTTTCCGTGTTATAATATTTTATCACCACAATTCTGTATCATATGTCACCCACTTTACTAATTTCTTTCTCCCCTGCAAGACCTGAGAAAAGTGTATGGGACGGTGTTAAGTCGCCATCATCATCTTGTCAGGAAAACAGATGGTGTATATGATCCTGTAGAGTATGACAAATATCCTGAGCGCTACATAAGTCGTTTTAGTACTGATGTGAGTATCGTACCCAGCTTTTGAGTTGGTTGCTTATGATACACTCCAGTTAGGCTACTTTACAGGAAAGAAGTTCTGAATGTAGACATTGTTTGCAGTTCCCCATACTGACTTGTGAGTTTTTTGGGGTTCCTGAGTTGGCTTTGGTAATTGTTTTCTGTTTGTTTGTAATGTCCTTTTCTTAGTGGCTCTGGTAGTTTCCGTGGGTATGCCCTTTTCTTTTCTGTTTCTATTAATATTTCAGGTCTGCATGTACCCAATAGGTTTAAACTATTTCCTGTATATTGCTCTTATCTGTTAATGATCTCAGATGAGCTAGCACTCTTGGCAAGGCACAATGTCTGTGAGGTTCGATATAGTTTTATTCCTTCTTTGCCTATATATTTTACTCGTAATTTCACCCAGCAATCTTGGAATAGATGGCACTGACTAAAGAAGGTTAAGGTAACAAAGTATGGCTATATATTCATGGACCCATAACACTGTACAAAAAAAAACTCAATATAAACCCTTCTGACACAGACACAATGGCTTCATGAGAAAAATATGTTAGCATTTTCTGTAGTCATTGGATATGACAAAGTCCTCCTCAAAATAAACCAACTAACAAATTAATATTATAAAATTCATATGATTATTGTGAAAAAGAATATGTTAAATAATTTAAAATGTAGTTCTTGCTTCAACAGCACACATACTAAAATTGGAATCATATAGATATTAGCATGGCCCCTGCTGAAGGATTACACACAAATTTGTGAAATATTCCATATTTTAGCCCATTAATCTAGCAATAGATTTATAACTTTAAAAATAAAATATGTGTAAGCAACATAGATTTTTTTCTGAATCTGGTGTGATTTATGTGTTAGAGCATGTTCAAAAGAAAGACTCCTCTTAGAGCTGGATACTGCTTGATACTTGAGAAACAAATAATATATTGTAAAGTAGTTTCAAACGAAACATTTTGAATCTAGTAAATTTCCATCTTTTTGTGTTTTCCAATCATGGAAATTTTTGTGATTGGATGCATCCTAAAATTCATAGAGACTTAGTTGCCATGTATGCATGTATGTAGCACATTTGTCCATGGAGCTTACAGATGTTATCTGATTTAATTTTCACAGCATTCCTTTGAGGAATGGGGTACGTATTATCCCCATCTGGCAGGTAAGGAAAACAGCCCAGAGAAGTTGAGGTGTAATGATTTAGGTCACACTTTACTTGTTATAGGTGCTAAAAATAGTGTTCCAAGTTACGTGACTCTCTGCCTTTCCTTTTTCTTGGCTATGCAATATATCCTAGGACAAAAATATTGTCATACTTCTTTATCATGGGGTAATTCTACCCTGAAACTTGGGTGGGTATTTATTGTCTTGTGTGAAAAAGGTGGACACAGATGGGGAAATAATAGACTCAAGTAAGAGTAACATCCAATTATTATTATTTTTTTTTATGTATTTTACTGATAGCTCTTTTTCAGCACATTGGGTTGTTCTGGTTCCTATTTTGTTGAACTTGGAACTTTATTTGTAGATTGCACCCTATACATCTTGTTTAATTAATGGGATCTACTGGGATCGAAACAACCCTCGGCTACTAACTCGAGGAGATCTTAAAACTCTCCTGGCTCCAGTCAAATCCTCGGGTGATGGTGAGAAAGGCTGCCCAGCTTTACCACACAAGTAAGGACTTCATGTGCTTGTATTGTTGGCAGTTTTTGTGCGTTTGTTTGTTTTTAATAGTAGTTTTCACTCATAGAGTATCATGTAAGGGATCTGCAAATCTCATGGCTTGACTGCTTATGACTAGTCTATTCTTTTGACATTTTGACATGTTAGCATTTAATTTTCTTCTTGAAACTCAACTTCTGTGACTCCACATACATTTCAAAGGTAATATCCTCGACAGCTCTCTGGTTTACTCTCATCCCTCTTACTTAGTCTGGTTCTCTTTGGCATTTTTTTGTGAAATTCATGACCATTTATTTTCTGTGGTTATGATTTTTCTTTCTCCTAGCTAAACTTCACTGCTAAGGATAAGGACCCTATTACCTTGGTTAAAAAGTAACCAGTACATTGATGACATATATGATCCATTCAAATTATTATTAAATATTAATCTATAAATATTCATGGAATACCTGATCTCCCTGGCATTCTGCTAAACTAAAGACAGAGAGGGATGAAAGAATGAAAGATATAGTTCCTAACAAAACGACTGGTGCTATCGTATGGTAAATGCCAAGAGAACACCAGGAACAATCAGTGTCACAGGGGTTTAAAAGAAAGTATGATCATTGGGCCCAGTAACATTTCATTTTTGTTTTGTCTTTGGGTCACACTGGCAGTGCTTAAGGTTTAGTCCTGGTGGTGTTTGGGGACCATTTGGTGTGCCAGGGATTGAATCTAAGTTGGATGGGTACAAGGCAAGTACACGCTACCCACTGTACTATCATTCCTGCCGAGAGTTCAGTAAACTTTTATTTTTTAATATTTTGTTTTATTGATTCACAGTGAGATACACAGTTACAAAGTTGTTCACGATTGGGTTTCAGTCATAAAATGTTCCAACATCCATTCCTTCACCAGTGTATATTTCCCACCGCCAATGTTCCCACTTTTCCTCTCTACCCTCCTACCTCTATGTTAGCTCTATGTTAGGCACTTCTCTCTCTCTCTCTCTCTCTCTCTCTCTCTCTCTCTCTCTCTCTCTCCCTCCCCCTTTTTGGGCCTTATGATTTGCAATACAGATAACTGAAAGATTATCAGATAAATCTCTTTACCTATGTAGTTTCAACACAGTTCCTGTCCAAAATGAAATTTCCAACTATTATTGTCGTACTTGTCCCTTCTTTATCCTAACTTCCCTTCACCCCCTCCCCTCCGCCCCCAGTCGCTCATTTTCCATGGTCAATAGCTATGGAAAACAGGACCAGGGAAAACAGTGGCTAGGAAGTCAGTAAAATTTTAAAGGGAACAATGAGGGAAATGAGAATTCCAAGGCATAGTTTTGGTACTTGATGAATAATGGCACTATCAAAGCAATATTGTGAATGGGAGTGTCTAGTTTTATAGAGAGTTTATGCAGAAATGTGGTAACTGATGATTAAGAAAGAGAAATCCGTGCTACTTCTAAAGGATTTAAACTCTTTGGCTGAGATATATGCTCATAATTCTAGATATTTCCAGGCAATGACTTGTAAAATATGAAGTACTAAGCAGGGTTAGTGTTTAAAGCAAGTAAGTCTTTCTCATTTTTTCCCCCCAACTGTGGCCCCTTATGACCTTGATTCCTTCCTGTGGCCTTTCTGTCTCACTAGTTGGCCTCCTACTCTTGGGCTGTGGCACCCATTCATGTGACTTTACTTGTGGTCTGCTTAGAATATCCTGGGGTTGTACTGAGGAAATATTGGTATAATTGAATCTTCGTAAGCGATTTTGAGTTGGTTAAGTAGGTTAATTTTAACTAGGTTGTTGTCAATGATTTCCCAAGGGAAGAAATATTTCTCCCCGATCTTTTTTTCACTTTTCCTCCTTCTTCTCTTCCTCCTGCTCCACCATCTTCTCCTTCTTTTCTTCCTCCTTGTTCTTTCTCTCTTCTTCCTTTTCTTCTTGCTTCTGTCCTTCCACACCTTCATTACTTGCTCTTCCTTGCCTTCCTTCTCCCTTTCCTTCTTTTTTTCATCCACTTCCTTATTTTTGCTTGTAAAAACTAAATCTTACCCTGGGAAGATTTTTTGTATCTCAGAAAAACATAATGTTCTCAGTGTGTGGAGGTATAGAAAAAAGAATCTAAAGGCCTAGTGAATATTGTCATTCACATAAAAAAATACTCCAAGCACCTTTTATTTATTTAAAATTTTATCGCTCCAGCCCCATAATAATTCATTATATTTAATATTTCATCCTGGAGCCATTAAGCTCTTGTATGTGCTACTCGCACTTTTAATTTTTATTCACTCTTATTGTTTTTGTAGACCCCAGAGTTCCATGCTCTCATCTAAGTATTTATATTATTTTCAGACTTGTAGCAATATGTGATATTTCAGCTGACTCAGGAGGATCTATAGAATTTATGACTGAATGCACAACTATAGATCAACCATTTTGCATGTATGATGCAGACCAGCATATTCATGATAGGTGAGTTTGTGAGTGATGTTAGATGGTAAGATATGAATAAAAATACATTATTAGCTTTCCATCATCTACTGTTCAGAAATATTAAATATTTCAGAAATGAAAACTTTATGAAAGCTATAAAGATTTCTTGTTCATGTACGTTCAAACATAGTTGAAAAAATGAATTAATACTTAATTGAAAAACTAAAAAACAATTTCAACACTAAAATGCATATATACTGTAATAAAATAGATATTAGTTACTGAAGAATGTGAACGTTAATTTGAAAAACTTGTTTATTTTCTTATATAACTTGGTACAAAACCACCAATAATTATGAAGCAAATAGAATGGAGTAAGCATTTGGGAAAGTTAGAGCTTACAGATAACATTTTGTATACATGAATAAAGTATATTGGTTCTCCTAGTGTTGAAGGCTCTGGAATTCTGATGTGCTCCATTGACAATTTGCCAGCACAGCTTCCAATTGAAGCTACAGAATACTTTGGAGACATGCTTTACCCTTATGTTGAAGAAATGGTAAGAAGATTGGTAGCATCTGTCACAATTCTATGGCTTTTAATAGACATGCAGAGTTATAAATGTTCTGGTCTTCCGCATCTAAGAAATCTGTTGTAAATGAAATGCCAACCTTTCCTTGAAGTGTTGCCTTGTCACTATTATTTGACATTCCCACTTACTTGACCCACAGGAAATATTATCATGTATCTGCCGTCTTCATTATATTTGTTTCTCATGCTTATTTTATTCAGAATGTTTCTGATGTTTTCTTTATTTTCAATTTTTTCTCCTTCATAGAAAGATTCATATTGGGATTTTTTCACTCTGCTGATTAATAGATTTGGAAAATCATAAATATTTAAAAAATTGGTACTGGGTTATGAATTTTAGTCAATAACAGCTTAGTTAAGTGATAATTTATGTTGCATTAATTTACTTATCACTGTGATAGTAATTGACTGTTAAAATGCTATGTTATTAAGATTTCCCTTTCTTTTTGCCAAAGAAAAAGTTTTTACTTAAGTATATAGACAGTTTTTATATCTTTATTTATTTATTTATTTATGGGGGTTGGAAGTGGGGAAACTTGGGCTACACCTGGCAGAGTGCAGGGGTCACACCTGGGAATGCACAGGGGGTCAGGTAGTACGGGGGCTTGAATATGGGCCAGTTGTATGCAAAGCATTCGTACTAGCCCATTGAGCTATCTATGTGGTCTCTCTTTTTTTTAGCCATAGTTTCACTCTCTAATACTATTAAGAGGATCAGTATTTGAATTTGAGGATCAGTTATGGTCGCCTATATTCCAAGATGGAAACTTCTAGTTTTAATGCAATGACAGAATTTTGCAGTTGAATTCTCCACCCCTGTACCTCGACAGAGTTTGGCAGTATCTAGATCAATCACTAAAGCTTTAATTTATCTTTAAAAACTCAAACCATTTGTCTTTTAATAAAACTTATCCTTGTGAGGCCAAGATACAGAAAATATTGAATGCTCCTCTTCCTTGTGGAGGGATATGACTATTAATTTCTCCCTCCCCTTCACACACACACACTTTTTTTTTGGTTTTTGGACACCTGGCAGTACTCAGGGGTTATCCCTAGCTCTGCACTTAGGAATTACTCCTAGTAGTGCTCAGGAGACCTCGTAGGATGCCAGAGATCAAACCCAGATTGGCCGTGTGCAAGGCAAACTCCCTACCCACTGTAATTTCTTGAAATGTATTTTTGACTGCTTTAATATTATCTTCCATATGAAAAAGTTGACATATCTTTTTCAGAGTTAGATATTAGTCTGTTAAGACTTTAAATTTTAAGTTTATTTCTTTCAGAACTTAGATTGTAGTTAGCTTTTCATTCTTATTTGTCATTAATCAAAATGCTGTTTAATATAGTTGATCGCAGACATAGGAAGAGAAAAGTAAGTCAATTCAATGAATTCTATATATAGTGGAATCCTATCTTTTTTGTCATTTACATATCTGTGACAACTAATAAGACTGAATAACTTAAAATATATTTATTGGTCATTCAATACTCTTTTATGAAGTGCTTTTAATTTTTTTCTACCACTTTCTTGTTTCCTTTTATTCATAGACTTGTTAATTTGTTATGCAGTCTGAGTTTTATGATTATTCATGTAGTATGTGTCTTTTCTGATACTTCCTTATTAATTTCACTCTATTTTTTCTTTTTTATTTATTTTTTCTTCACCCTCCCCAATTCTTTCTTTTGAAAACTGCCCATTTTGCACTAGAAGTTTAGTGAGCAAAAGTGAAAAAAATACAAAAAAAAAGCTTTATCTTATTCTTTTACCTTAAGAGACTTTTAAATATTTCATTATCCATTGTGGTTTACTGTAGATTTTAAATAAATATACTTTATTATATTAAGCTAACTTTTGAATTATTATTACTAATGTGGTTTATAAATAATTTTTAGTTTTCATTGATAATATCATATGATTGTTTTTTATTTTATTACTATGTGAATTTTGTCAATTATTCTTCAGAGATACAACCATTTCTCAGAATTCAACCAATCTGGTTTCCTCTTTAGGATTAGATTTAGATCACTAATGACTATAACATGATTTATTCATGTACTTTAAGATTGGTGAAAAGCTTACTGTTTGGGGCTACTGCTAATAATTTTATCTGAAAACACTGTCACATATCTCTTGCTGCATATTTGTTTGCTTTTTTTGAGGGTATACTTACATGTGTATTGTTTAGAATTATGTAACATAAAATATATACTGCATATATGTTCATGAGTGACTTAACCTATAACTGCTTTTTTGTCAGACTTGGATATTAAAGTCATGTTGTTCATAAGACAAACTGGAAAGTATTTTTTTTTTTTGCTTTAGGAACATTTTGCATGAAATTGTTATTTTTATTTAGAATATATTGGCATAAAATATATTTTTTCAATTCATTTTCATAAAGTTGTTCCCAGCAATTGATTACATTCAATATTTCAACACCAATTCCACCACCATTACTCCTCTCCACCATTATTTCAAATTTTTTCACCACCACTAAAGCCTGCCCCATAGGCAGATCCTAAGTAATTTATTTTGTATTGCTTATTATGAATAGTATAGGACTAGCATAGGATGATCCTGGATATTCTAACAGCCACGACGCCGTATGGGCAGGGAGGGACGGCCATCCTCACCTCACGTGGCCTGGAGTTTTCAGTCACTGGTTTTAGTACCTGTGTTTTTCTTTTGGAGGTTTATGGCCACAGGGGCTCAGCTGGAGTAGGCAGAAAGTGAGAACGCCAACTCCATCTGAGGAACCCCCTGTGAAATCAGCTTGGCACCGGATGGGGGAAGGGCATCTATGTGGCGAACTGCCATCTTCTGAGATTTTTTTCATGAGTTTCTGGATCTTGACCACTAATGCGCTTAAATGGCCTGGCATAAATATTTATTCGTTTGTTGTTTTCCCATTCCTTTCCTTCTCTCTGATGTTTTGACCAGGGATTGCATGATACGTCCTGCAATGCTTGCATATGTCGTTCTGGTGGTCTTAGGGGGTACACATGCACTCAGCCTTAGCTCACTGATCACAGGCCATAGAGTGCTCCTTTATTTGTGACGCTTGTGTTGGTTTTGGGGCCCAGGGTTTTACCCAGCAGAACTTGGGTGCCATAGTTTGACAGTGATGAAACTCAGGGTCTTGCCTGAGCTAGGTATGTGCCCTGTCACTTGAGCTAGCTTCCCAGACCTTTATTGGTGTAACTTTTGAGCCCGGAGCATTTTTGTTTGGTTTAAAATATAAATTTTACAATGATAGATTTTTATAAATCGATATAAAACTTTTATATTTTCAATTTTTTTAAATTTTGTTTGGGTCACACCAAGGGGTACTCAGGGCTTACTCATGGCTCTGCATAGTGTTCTATTGTGTATATACCACGTCTTCATAATCTATTCCCAATATTTACTTTAATACACTAAATTATATTTTTAATATTTTGGATGTATTATTAATCAAAAATAAATTCAGTTCTTATATTCCAACAAATAATTATTTTCTGGGTCTTTTTTGTTGTTTTCTCTTTTTATTGGCTTTTCAGTTAATTGTTATCACTTCATATCACTTTTGTATTAAGAACTGTATAGAATGCATAATACTATATACATAAACTTAGAGATTCAGAAGTCCAGTATGTTGTGTAATTTTCTCAAAAATGACCTATTTTCTTTGGCTGGCATAGATATAGAATAGGAAAAAAAACACCTCAATTCAGACAGGAATGAATGTGATCCAAAGTTGGCTTTCGTCTTGGAGAACTGACATTTTAAAGTTCACTATTTTAGAATTCCAAGTAAAACTCTGACAATTGACTCCTACTGCCTTGATTTTAACTCTTACTTTTTATTGCCTTATTGCTTCAAATTGCTCAAAATCCCTTCTCAGAGTCTGTCTTTGCTGCTCTCTGTTCAACCTCACAGTGTCCCAGGCACTGCTTGATGTTGACACTTAGGCTAGTTAGTTAGAAAAGTTGGAAAAGTGCTGCCAATGTTAGAAAAGTGCTGCCAATCTTAAACTTAACTCTGATCTTTCTTCTCCAGAATCTTGTACAAAGTCATAACCACATTTTGAATCTAAAATATGAAGCTTTAAACGTTTTAATTGGTTTTACTCAATAGGAAGAATGATTTGAAGCAAATCAAATTAGTCATTCTTGAATTTTGGAAAATGTAGGTTATAAAAAATGACACATTTATATATACACATATAAATTCATGGTTGTTAGACTTCAGGGAGTGTGGAAAGGTTAAGAATGTCAGACAGAGATCCTTTTCTTAAGCATAGTGATTGGGTGTTCACATGCTTGTGTGACATGTGCCTCCCTTAAATCTTGTTACGCATTTGGTACATCTGACATAAATTTAAAAAAAAAAAGGAAAAAAAGAATGTTAGTCAGTGTTATCTTAGAGATTTTTGGTGAGAACTGTTAGATGTTTGATGTAAGTAAATTCTCAAAAATATTCACATCTTTGTTTTTCTTTCTTGTTTTATCTTGAGGTCACAACTAGAGGTGATGGTGGTCAGGATTTATTTTGGCTCTGCACTCAGGAATCACTCCTGGTGGGATTTAGGAAACGATTCAGGGCTCTGGGGATCGAACCTGGGTTGGCTGTGTGCAAGACAAGCACCTTACCTGCTGTACTGTCTCTCTGATCCATGTTTCACTTTAACATCACCATAGTACTCCAGTGTGGTGTGATTGTCTTAGGGACATCCACCTTAGTAATGCTCTCTATAGAGAGGATAGATAACTCAATGCTAGACTTGTGAAAACTGGTGATTCTGTATTTCACAGTCTTGATTTGTGTATCTGCTTACTACTTAATAGTTAAGCATTCTGTTTGTTATTTTCCTCTGATATAGGGGACATATGTTTATAGTATATGCGATTTTATTTCTATCCATATTTCCCTTTGACTTCATATCCATACAGAATTTATAGGATGTGAAGATATGTAGCACTATAGCACTGTAGCACTGTACTCCCATTGTTCATCGATTTGCTCAAGCGGACACCAGTAACATCTCCATTGTGAGATTTGTTTTTACTGTTTTTGGCATATCAAATACATCAAGGGGAGCTTGCCAGGCTTTGCTGTGTGGGTGGGATACTCTTGGTAGCTTGCCAGGCTCTCTGAGAGGGGTGGAGAAATCATACCTGGGTCGGCCGCATGCAAGGCAAATGCCCTACCCACTGTGCTATGGCTCCATCCCTCAACCTTTTGGCTAAGAGGATAGATAGCTCAATGCTAGACTTGTGAAAACTGGTGATTCTGTATTCCACTGTCTTGATTTGTGTATCTGCTTACTACTTAATAGTTAAGCATTCTATTTGTTTTTTCCTCTGATATAGGGGAACATATATATAGGTATATATATACATATATATATTTTATTATACATTTATATATATATATATGTAAAATTTCACTTTGGGTAGTGCTTGGGTCTTTTGCTCTGGAGACACTCCAGGCAGTACTCAGAGTACCATACAGTGCTGGGGACTGAACCTGAGCCTCCTGCATGTCAACTATTCACTCAGATCATTGATCTATCTCTATGTGTGAACAAATGTAGATGCTTTCTTTCAGTTGAACTCAATAACTATGAATATCTGTTGGAATAATACACAGCTATAGATGAGAGAATCAAAACACAGCCTGAGATCTATTACTGATGATCTCCAAGAAAGAGATGAGATACATGTGCAATGCTGTCTGAAAGATAATGCAATAGCCATCAGAAAGATGTAATGAAGGTGGAGGGAGAGAATTTGTTTTCTTTTATGTGTAGACATTTTCTTTATCTGTTAGTCAAGCGTTGTTGGGTACTTGTTTGTTTTCATAGTACAACAGTAAACATAGGCGTGATTATAATTCTTTGAATTAGTGTTTTTGCATTCTTTGGCTAGATATCTAGAAATGGACTTGCTGGATATATGGTAGATCCATATTTATCATTTTTGAGTTCTCTCCATACTGTTTTCCATAGATGTTGGACCAATGTAACAGTGTCTAGATAACTTTCTGACTTTATCATTTTTCCTGAAATTTCAATGTTAAAGTAATTATCCAAAAACTTTTACTGATGAGAGAAAGACTGTTGTAGAATTGCTGGCTCTTCTGCTTGGAAAATTCATTCTCTACTTCTTGGAAAAAAGCCCGAAACTGCAATGGGATAGAGGCACTTGGAGTGGGGATTATGACTATGTAGCCAATTTAAATTTTTGCCAGAGACATATTAAATTCACAGAGAAAGATTTTTGTGTGTATTTCTTATAATGAAGATGATTGAATAGTTGTTCTCCACTTTGTGGGCTCCTCATCTAAGGATCTAACCAACCACAGTACGAAAATACATGCTAAGGGTTATGGTTGCAATGGTTCTATACTGAATATGTACAGATTGTTTTTCTTGTCATTATTTCCTGAATAATAGAGTATAAAACTGAGTCCGGCAAGCTACCGAGAGTATCTCGCCCTCACAGCAAAGCCTGGCAAGCTCCCTGTGATGTATTCGATATGCCAAACACAGTAACAACAAGTCTCACAATGGAGACGTTACTGAGCAAATCGATGAACCAGAGGACAGTGACAGTGACAGTGATTAGTAACCTAAGTAATCTAAAGATAAATGAAAATATTTGGTAAATTGTGGCAAATTATATGTAGAAACAATAGCATTTTATATAAAAGACCTTTATATAAAAGACTAAAAACCAAGTATACATGACTTTTAGTATTCATAGTGTCCTGGAACCAGACCCCTGTGGACACTGAGGAAATAGAATCATATCTTAATTTTAAAATTTGGTATTGTGCTGAAATGATGTGTCCTTGGGTGTACGATTATTTGCTTATTGATTTATCACGATCACAATCATCCTGTTGTTCGTCGATTGCCTCTAGCAGGCACCAGTAATGTCTCTTTTGTCCTAGCCCTGAGATTTAAAAGTGCCGTACTCAAGGCTCTTTCAGGGTTAGAAGAATGAGACCCATTATTGTTACTGATATTTGGCATATTGAGTACACCACGGGGAATTTGCCAGACTCTGCCATGTGGGCAGGTTACATCCGGTAGCCTGCACGTTGTCCAAAGTAAGAATGAGATAATAAGATTTATATTGGTAATCATTATATTTGGTGATTTTCAGACAATAATTTTCTAAATCCCTTTTCAAATTTTTACTAATATTTTGGTTTTTTTTTTGTTTGGGGGTTATACCTGGCAGTTCAGGGATTACTCCTGGTCCTGAACTCAGGGATCTCTCTTTGTGGGCTCAGGGAGATGGTATTTCAGGTATCAAACCTGGGTCAACTCTGTGCAAGGCAAATGCTCTACCATCTCTACTATCTCTCTGGCCCCTACTTTGACTAATATTTTAATGAGAATATAAAGGCCAAGAAACTTCTTTGGAAGTGCCAGTGATCTCTTACCAATCTCTTTTTCTTTAGATACTGTCAGATGCGACACAACCTCTTGAAAGTCAGAATTTTTCTCCTGTGGTGAGAGATGTAAGTTATAAAACACTGTTTTTTTCAAAACTATATATATATTTTTCACCACCATTCTCTCTCCTCTCGCATCTCCTTTATTTCTTTCTCTTATTCTCTTTCCTATAAATCTCTATCACTGTCTCTTTTATTAGTCATGAGTCCATGTTTGTAGGACTAAATTGTGGATACTAAAGAAATGTCTTGTGTCATATACATTTAGGCAGTGATTACATCCAATGGTATATTGACTGATAAGTATAAATATATCCAGAAACTCCGAGAGAGCAGGTAAGCATCACTCTTATCTTGGATCTGATGAGTATTTTTAAATGCTTCAATGTGAGTTTATATTAGATTTATACAATATGTAAATTTTAAGAATGTCTGTAAATATAGAAAATTCAAGCAAAGTGAATGGCTGAAACCAATATGAATTATGGTTCCCTCAATTGTATTACATCATCATTTTGGATCACTAATGCCTTATTTAAACTGGTATGTGAATCCAAGAAGTACTTTTGATGGTCATTTACTCATTTTCTAGCATTTTGTATATTTTTATGTCTCACTTATTTTCTGAAGAGAAAATGAGCACATAATCCTTCTGATGGTGCTTCCACTCTGGTTTTCATTTTTGGGCTTAGATTTCCCTTTGTTATTTAGTATGTGGGACGGTGAAATCAGGGTTAGAAATTTCAAAAAGCAATGAGGAAAGATAAGGGTCTAGGTTAGTTTTGGCTGGGGATTCTTATTTGGAGAGTAAGAATTTCACAAAGTTAATGTGGCAAATCCAATCTAGGTAGTTTTCTTAGAAAGCTACCTAACTAAGACCCTGTTTCCTAAATTATTTTTACTACTCAGTGTTTAAAAGCACTGACATTTCATTGAATATTTTGGCACTCTTCAGCTGATGGCATTTGATACATGTTGATATCAAGTCATGAGTCACAGTAACAAAACAACCCACGTACTGAATCCAAAAATTATTGAAGAAAAGTTAAAAACAAACTAATCACCCCCTTGAGTTTTCAATTTCTCTGCTTAGAAGAAGCAAATAAGAGTCCTGTCCTGAGCAAGTATTAATTTTTACAGTTACCTTTTATGTAATGAATAATAATGTATTATTGAATAAATATCTGGACATAGATATTAAGAATGTACAGCTTTTAATAACCTAGCTAGCTATTGAACTCATGAGAAAAGTTTTTATAGGGCAAGCTTCAAATGTGTTTGTTTTTCATAGCTCTGTATATCTTTGGTTATAACCCAGCTATACCCTCTTAGATTAGATTACTAATCCCAATTTTTTGTCTGGCAAGACCACTCATGAAAATATTTTCACTTTTGTACACCAGATTTCAAGTAGCAACAAGGTCTGATCATCTCCAATTGCCAAGACTTCCTGCTCTCTTTCTAGGTTGAATTTTGTGCCAAGAATCTGATAATGAAGATTGCATTTAAAAAATATAGTAGTTTAGGTAATATGGTAACAATAGTTATAATATTCATGGTTTTGATGTATGAAGTTTCAACACCACCAAAGTGCCTAAGATCCTCCAAAGATTGCATTTTGATAAGAAATATAATTTTCTTATGTTCTCTTTATTATTTAGCACAGTGATTTAACCTGGAGTGTGGCATCTGGGGTTGCTGATGGGGTGGGTAGTATGAGAATCTAGTAGCGAATTTTTAAAATTTTATTTTGAGTATTTAATTTTTTGACATTGAAGTAATGTGTTGTAGTTATACAAATTAAAGAGTATTGCTAGAAAGGATAAATAAAAAACAAATAATTGTAATTCTTCCTGGGGGAAAGGGAATGAGTGGTTGGTAGTGGGTGAGGTTGGAATGGGGATGGTATTCAAAGGAATGCTTGCCTCATCAATAAGATGTTTTGGTGATGGAGAGGAACATAAATAGTCTATATATACATTTATATTTGTTCATTTATAAATAATAAAAATATTAACGCGAGAGACATCCTGCCCTCAAAAGTTCCAACAATAGAGTCTGTTGCTTAAGAATCCCTGCACTAGACCATTCCATGGTTTTACATTGGTATCTATCTGGGTATTGAATTCAAAAGACTTTTAATAAGGTCCTTCTATACTCTAGGCAAAATGTGTTGAGTATTAATGAATTTAAGGGGTTGTTTAGAACTTAGAAACTTTCTTAGAGTACCTAATATATAGTCAAGTAAGACCTGTCAAGAAAGTGCAATATCCAAATAACTGTTAAAGAGTGAAAATATTGCCAAGTACTTATCATAGAATTTCTCTCCTGGACCCATGAGTTCAAAGTACTGGCTTTAACTTTTCTTAAGTGACCTTACAGGTAAATGGCAATTCAATGTAGATAATGATTGCTTTATGTTATTCTCACTTTGGATTGTTGTGGAATAATTAGGGTTTCTGATGCAAAACTCTAGAATGATTTTGTACCATTTTCCTTAGAATGAACATGAGAACAAATTATTTCTTTTGAATAAGCTGAGTATTGAGTAACCCAGCAGCAGAACTTCACTATATATTGGGAATTGATGAGTCTCTGGCCAAATATTTCAGAGATATTGAATTGAAGACTATTGTAGATTGTTCATTGTGTAAAGTCTAGGTAATTAAAGAAAACTGTTGGTATATGGAACTCCTGTTAAGGTTATTATTATAAGAAAATGAGAAAAAAGTATTGCTTACTAGTCTAGGTTTTAGACAATAAAATTTGATTCAGAGACAGCAAGATTCTGCTACTCAGCAACTTTTGATAAGTTAATACCCCTATCTGTCTTTTATTTTTTTGATAGGGAACGCACACAATCACATTCAACGAGCACCAAGAAAAAGGTCTTGGTTCTTGGAACTGGTTATGTCTCAGAGCCTGTTTTGGAATACCTGTCAAGAGACAAAAATATTGAATTAACAGTAGGTAAATAAGATTTAATTTTTGAAGAATGAAGAAATTATTTCAATGCTTATCTTCTCTGGAAATTTTGGGTGATTTTTATTTTTAATTCATTTTTATTTACAATTTTGAAAATTATTTTAAAGGTATAATGGGTTTACTCTAAGTCATGGAAAGACATAAATTTTTTTACTTTTGAATTTTTTTTGGGGGGGGGTCATACCCGGCGATGCACAGGGGTTACTCCTGGCTCATGCACTCAAGAATCACTGGTGGCAGTGCTCGGGGGACCATATGGGATGCTGGAATTGAACCACGGCTGGCCGCATGCAAGGCAAACGCCCTATCCAGTGTGCTATCACTCCAGCCCCCTGACTTTTGAATTCTTTAAATAGGTTCTGACATGAAAAATCAACTTGACCAGTTAAGAAAGAAATACAATATTAATCCTGTTAGTATGAACATTGGCAAACAAGAAGAGAAATTGGGTTCCTTGGTGGCATCACAGGATCTTGTCATCAGGTATCTGACAATTCATTAACCATGCATTTTGTTATTGTCGTCTCTTTCCTTATTTTCCTGTTCTCTTCTCTCCTCTCCTATATGTTTTAACTAAAATGTACATATAAAAATGAGCTTATCATAGGTGCTCAACAGATTTTCACAAAATTAACCACTATGTAGCCATTGTTTTATCCAGAAAGAGAATACAATGATTTCCCAGAAGCGCTTGCTTTTCTCTCTTTGCTTCTTCCCATTTTCTAATCTCATTCCCACAGGTGAACATTCTCCTGGCTTCTAGCACACAGATTAAATTTTACTGATTTTAACTTGTACAACTGGAACCATTCACTGTGTTCATATTGTGTTTTCCCTTTTTCAATGAACATGGTTTGTGAGTGTTGTTTTTGCTGTTGTCTGTAACAGATTCATTCATTCATTCTCATTGTTGTGTGGCATTGTATGATAATATCTTTCTCCTTTTGACTATTGAGGGATGTACAAGTTGTTTCCTGAATTTGCCTATAATGAATTGACTGATATGGACACTTTAGTTTTTGTCCCTTCGTTATCAAGTTCTACCCATTTCTGTTGATTGCATTGAAGTAGAATTGCTAATTTGAGGTTTTCATGCTTACTTCATTTTACCAGATTTTTATTCCTTTGGATTTATAAGCCTTGCTAAATTAAATAGTTTTTCTAGCTTTCTCATCATTTTTATCTGATTATAGGAATAGATTTTGAAATACAATACTTACTGTTATTTAATACAAAATGTGAGTCTTCTAGATATAAAACTAAATGAGAATCAGTCTGTAATTAAACTTGGTTTTATTTTTATTGGAGGAAGTTCCCAGATGGTGCTCTTAGTGATTCTTGGCCAACTGGGTCAATGGTTCAGTGCTTCGGTTAAAAAGCATAAAATATTGATGTTGGCGAGATATGTACACAGTTTCATTTCACTTGATAATGAGCTAATTATTTTGAGAAATTATAAGTTCCAGGAAACTGGTTTTCTAGTTCCATTTTACATCAAACAAAAGAAAAATAATTATAAAGGACATATTTGTTAAATAAATAGGTAATGTGATAAAGTTCATAAGTTTAAAATATATTTTCATTGGTGCTATTAGATGATCAAATTGGCAATGAATTTATAGAGTTTAAGTATGGCTATTCAGTTTACAACATGCTTTTTCCTTGCCTATCGCATGAATGTTCTAATTTGTAATAACATTTATAAAAGGTCATTTTTATTATTATGCAGACCCCACCCCAAATTAAAACATCAAGTTCAGATTTTAGAAAAGGCTAAGTTGAGATTTGAGTGCAGCTTCCTTTTTTCCTTACCATATAGACTTTAATCATTTTGATAAACCTTTCACCAATCAATGGCACTGAAGCTTATCGCCTCTGTCATGTAAAGAATAGTGCCTATCTTTTAGTAGGGGTCCAGAGACAGAAAATCATAGCAGTATAGAGGTGAATAGAATAAATTCCCAAAAATGTTATAAAGAAATTGATAAACACAGGTAGAGGAAGGAGGTTTGGCTTTGGGGGAATCTTAGAAAACTTCTTGGGGAGATACCTTTCAGACATTTCTCTTGTTCTTTTTTTCCTTTTTATGGGGGAGGTGGGGGGAGACTCATACCTGGTGGTGCTTAGACCTTACTCCTGGCTCTGCACTAGAGAGTTACCCCCAGGGAAGGGGATAGAGGGATCATATGCAATGCAGGAATTGAACCTGGCCTGGCTTCCTGCAAGGAAAGTGCCTTACCTGCTTTGTTATAGCTCCGGCTCTCAGATATTTCTTAAAGGGAGATATAACCTGGATGCGGTGTGGTTGAAGGGAGACTCCAAATGGAAGTTTCAGAGCTAGAAAAGTAAAGTTTGTGAGCTAGAAATCACATAGCTTTTTTTTTTATACAGTCAGTGGAAGGAGACTGAGGGAGAAAATGGATTGTCTCTGAGAGTTATTCTTTAGGATTGAACTTTAGTCCAGATCAAAGTACATTGCAGTGGGACTGAAAGGAAAGATTCTGATAAATTTATCTCTTATTTTTAAGCTTATTGCCTTATGTGTTACATCCTATTGTGGCCAAGGCATGCATCGCAAACAAAGTTAACATGGTCACTGCAAGCTACATCACACCACCACTAAAAGAATTAGAAAAGAGGTAAGTAAGGGTGAATGATTATTAACAACAGAGAAGTTTTAAAATTTTAGGCCCAACTTTTCTATTTTCTATTTTCTCCCACTCAATGTAGTGTGCAAGATGCCGGCATCACAGTCATTGGTGAATTGGGATTGGATCCTGGTCTTGATCATATGTTGGCAATGGAGACAATAGATAAAGCTAAAGAAGTGGGAGCCACAGTAAGCATATCTCACACCCAAAAATCTATGTGTAAAACCTGCAAAGATCCAGGTTTTTGTGTACAAAAATAATATGTAGTTTTTGTAATTTCTATTAAGGATACTATCTTCTAATTTGTAACTCGAGGGATTGGAATGATAACTTAATGGACTAGAGTTCATGCTTCACATACAAGATTCCCGAGTTCAGTCATGGCTCTAGATTGATCCCCTGAACACCAAGAGTGAATCCTGAGCAATGAGTTGGGAGTAGCTCATAAGCACCACCATGTGTGGTCCCAAACCAGAAATAAATAAAAACTTGTAACTAGAAATATATGGTAAAACAAAATTCCAAGTCTTAGCAGTTGATTTTTTAGAGAAATAGATGCTATTATTAAATTTTGAAGTTCATAAAATATAATATCCTGGAGGTGAATAAGACTTAATGTTTTAAACTTGGAAAATATTTTTGAATATTATTACTGCATTACATTTTACATAGGATCTATTAGATATAAAGGTGTTATGAGTAGGATGAAATGTTTTAGAACATACATACATGCATGTTATATATATATATAGCTGATATTTGAATGTACATATACTCGTATAAACATATATGTGTGTACATTATATTAGTATATGTGTACAAAATATGTATAAAATATATATGCTGGATTCAAAAGTGAACCACAACTAATGAAGCAGAATTGCATTAATACTTGGATTTTTGACTATGAAAAACATGTTATACCCCAGAAGTTTAAGTATATATTTTTATATATGTACATATTTACAGTAACTGACTTAACCAAATGGCATGTAGCTTTAAGAATGTTTATGAAAGTCTTAGTAACTTAGAAAAGAAAAACTGTAACCAACTTACCTTACATACTCTATTGCACTTGTTTACTTAGATTCATTATTTTCTCTAAGTTTTTACTTCTTCTTAATGTATTTCTCCTTTAATTTGCAGATTGAATCATATATTTCCTACTGTGGTGGACTTCCAGCCCCTGAACATTCAGATAATCCTCTGAGATACAAGTTTAGTTGGAGTCCAGTGGGAGTTTTGATGAACATAATGCAGTCTGCCACGTATTTGCTCAATGGGAAGGTAAAAGCATGTCCCAGAGTTTTAGAGATAGTAAACTAGTAATTCTAAACTCTCTCTGATACCAAGAGTGTCGAGAGGGTTCATTGCTTGCCTTCCATTCTCTCCTCTGTATTTTCTAAGTATCACCGTATCACTGTCATCCTGTTGTTCATCGATTGCCTTGAGCAGGCACCAGTAATGTCTCCAGTAATGTCTTCGTCCTAGCCCTGAGATTTTAGAAAGTGCCACATTCGAGGCTCTTTTAGGGTCAGGAGAATGAGACCCATCATTGTTACTGGTTTGTGGCATATTGAATACACCACGGGGAGTTTGCTAGACTCTGCCGTGTGGGCAGGATACTTTCGGTAGCCTACCAAGTTCTCCAGAGTAAGAACTAGATAATAAGATGTGCTTCCGGAAGCTGGGTTTTATAGTCTCTGGGTCTTGGCCTTTGATGGGATTACATGGCCCCGGGGACAGTTGGTGGGTGTAACACCTACATACTGAAAGATGGGGGATCTGAGTGGAGGAGGCCTCAGTCCCAAACTAAGCAGACTTGGAGATCTAAGCCCCGGGTCTCGCACACCTGGGGTCCTCTGCCGGTTCCTTGATGCATGAGGCTCGTCCAAATGTGTGGATAGCGGTCTTAAGCATAGCTGTGGCTGGAACCAGAGGTGTTCAGCTGCTGGGGCTCTGCTCGGGGTGGAGAGGCAAACTCAACCCACCCTCCTTCAAGGGCCCCCGGTGAGGACAGCCAGGCGCGGAGGCAGGAGACTCTGTGCTGTTCTCTTCCGTGTATTTTCTAAGTATTTCTTTTAAACTTGGTGTGGCTTCCTCCCCATTCCTAGCAAAGCTTGTGTTCATGCTTTCCTCTTCTTTTGCCCTCTTGCATATTGCTTCGCCAGTTTGGAAACTCATGTATTCACTTCTGCATATGTAAATGTGCATCAGCTTTGGATGCATTTTAGCACATAGAAAAAATAAACCTTGATTTTTGGTTTGTGGGCTATACCTGGCAGTACTCCTGGCTCATTGACCAGAAGTAAGATTTATTGCTTTGTGAGTGCCCCTACCCTCCAAGTAAAACCCTACCCTCCAAGTAAAACCTCCAAGTAAAACCCCCAAAGCAAAACAGGATAAAAAAAATTGCTTAGGGGGCAGACAGACATTTCAGGGGTTAAGGTAAATGTCTTACATGCACCTTACTTAAGCAGTCCCTGACTCAATCCCAGGCACCACATGGTCCTACTGAGCATCGCCAGTTGCAGCTTTTGAGGTCCCCGGCACTACTGGGTTACCATGGATAGTCCTTAGCACCACAGGGGTGGAGCTGCACCACATCCTGATTTCCCACATGGAACCACGTCTCATTCGGTGCCCTGTCTCCTAAGCACCATTTATGAATCTCTCTCACCTCCTCAGATAGAGAAAGATTATTCCAGGAGCAGTACTATACATTGTCAGATATTTACATCTGTAAATATAATCACAACACCTGTAGAAAGGAGTCAGGCAACATAATTTCTTTAGAAAGAAAGTGGATGTTAGGGTCAGACTTTGTATTTTGTGTCCATGATAAAGGAGCCAGGCTCACAGCCTGAGCTGAACTCAGGTCAATTTACAAAAAAGCACCGAAAGTCTGTGCCTCCTCCCCAGAGATTCAAATTCACATGAGTTTAAGAACCTTTTAAAAGTTTCTTCGTGATTTGAATGTGTCTCTGAGTTGGAGAATAATTTAGTGACCGAGAGGACCAGATTTGCTTTTAAATGCTATGTAGCCATAGGGAAACTTGATTTTGATGCTGGAAAGATAAACTTACATATTTCTGGATTTGAAACAGGCTCTATAATTTCTAGTCCAAGTGATGATTTTCCTCAGAGTATCCCCAAGCAACAAGCGATTGGAAAGGTCATGTGGGCCTCACTTTCCTGACTGGAGACCGTGATCCTCCAGTTCTGTGTGGTTTGGACCACACCGCTCTTTCTATCTGCCTTTGCATTTCAATAGTCCCTTCCGCCTTCTATAGCTGTGGAGAAAAGACTGGCCTACTTTCGTATAAACTGACATAAGAAATCTTTCTTCCAGAGACACTACACCTACTTTCAGAAGGGCATATAAATGCTAGAGATGATTAGAAGAAAAGGGTCAGTAGAGTGCCAGCATATTACAGAAAGCACAAGGGACAGGCCTTTGGACTTCATTCAGCTCGCCATTCTGATTGGTGGCATTAGAACTATCATTTCATCTCTGAGCTGAGGTTTCTTGTTTAGAAATAAGCCTATTTATACTAACCTTGAAGAGCACTCGCAGTCACATTCAGTGAGGTCATGTGGATTGTACTCTGCCTGACAATTGATTGTCAGGCAGCATGTCCTAACCTCCTAACAAATATTAGCTCCATGATGAAACCGAAGGGGTGAGGGACTCCCCAAAGCCAGAGGTCATTTGCAGGAAGTAGATGTCACCAGCTTCTCTCCCAAGCTTTGAACCAGCTAAACAAATACTCTAGGCAAGGGCCTGCTTAGGTTGCACTACAAAGCACAGCATGAAGATAGGTTTTCTAGTTCTTAAGTAATGTCTGAAAGTTGAGATTGTTTTGCCCATGCGACCCCTCCTTTATAGGAAATCAAGAGCTGCTGTTTTTGCTTGCTTAATGCAAGACTTATGTACATTCCTGTTGATGTGATCTGCAGAGCTGTACTTGGTATTTCAGAATGCCTCTCAAAAATACTGATCAGAAATACTGATCTTGAAAGTCAAGACCTTATTTTTTGTAAGAAAATTTATTCAAGATGACTACATTCCTGGGGCTGGAGTGATAGCATAGCGGGTAGGTTGTTTGCGTGGCCGACCCGGGTTAGATCCCCAGCATCCCATATGGTCCCCCTGAGCACTACCAGGAGTAATTTCTGAGTGCAGAGCCAGGAGTAACCCCTGTGCATTGCCAGGTGTGACCCAAAAAGAAAAAAACATAAAGATGACTGCATTCCAGCATTTTACTAATCAGAAATAAATTCACTGGATCACTAGCCTATTGTGAGATTCTTGTGAAGAAAAGAGAGAAATGTAAACCGAATAATAATTACTCATTTATAGAAACTGATAGCTGCTGATAAACTGATTAACTCCTTAGTACAATTAAGGAGGTGGGGACTGGAGAGATAACACAAAGAGTTATCTTCATTGAGGCTGATCCCAGTTCAATTCTTAACATTGTGTATAAAGTCCCCCAGTACTACCAAGAGCATCCCTGAGCACAGGGCCAGTAATAACTCCTGAGCACAGCTGAGTGCAGTGCAACATTTCCTCCCCATTTCCTGTCTACCCTCATTCCCTTCCAGAAAGGCAGTAAGGTAAAGGAGAAAGAGCATAGGTGTTAGAAGTGAAATGATAGAAGCAAAATGATGGGTTTAAATCTGCTGCTGGATGGTTCTTTCAGTCTCAGTTTCCTCCTCTGAAAATAGGTAACTATATGGACTAAAGGCAAATGTATATAAGGCACTGAGTACACAATGTACATTGTATAAGTGATCACATAGTTCCTGTGTGTTTTTTATTTCTTTTAGAAATAAAGCTTACTATCAGTGATTCTCATTGAAGTTGTGGTGTGGTATGGTGTGGTGGTGGCGGTGGTGGTGGTAGTGTGTGTGTGTGTGTGTGTGTGTGCGTGTGTGTGTGTAGGGAATTAGGGGATTAGAGTTGAAGACACAACAGCCTGCACTAGTAATAAGCTATTGTTTCTACTGAATGTGTCTTTGATTCTGAGCATTATTGAGGCAGAAAAAAATTTCTCTGCCAAATAGAGAAATGTCTTTCTGACTTTATTCAATTCATTAATAGAATATTAAACAGAATAGGGATATTAATGAAATCTAAGATATGTCACTAGTATTTCAATGCTGAGTTGATATCAAATGATAGTTATTACTGAGGAATTTTGGTTAGGTGGCGACAATGGCTATCAGCTTCCATAGATTAATAATTTTTGTTCACCTTATATTTCTCTATTTTCTTCAAAAGAATCTTACAATAGACTAAGGATCCAATAGACTGTTTTCTGAACAATGAAATGCTGGAATGTAGTCATCTTGAATAATTTTTGTTACAAAAATAAGATCTTGAATTTCAAGCAAATAAACAGAACTTACAATTGTCAGGATAGAAGTAAGATTGTATAGAAGTTGCATAAAGATCAACATTTACCTTCTTATTATATTGAAGAAGGGAGAAGAGGAGGGACAGTCCAAGGGCCAGAAAAAATGCTTTGCATTCAGGAAGACTGTATTCTATGGGGCTTGGCAAGTCAAACAACCTCAAACACAGAGCTGGGAGTAGTCTCTGAGTGCCATGAGATCTGGCCTCAAAACAAATCAAGATTTAAAAAAATATGAATCATGTAGAAGATTTTTTAAAATTATTTTCCACTAAGGCACCATGGTTTATTCATAATAAAGCTTTGGCATAAATGTTCGAACACCAATCCCACCACTGGTGTCAACATCATTCCAGGAGTAGTTTTAGTTAGGAAATAAGGAAATAAGACAGAGAAAATCAGAAAGTGAAGGAAGAGAAAGCTTGCACTCTGGGCTGTGGGTGACTTCAGGATAATGCACCAAAAAAGTTTATTTTAAAGAGGCTGGATAGATAGCACAGTGGGCAAGGGACTTGTCTTGCCCACGGCCAACTGCAGATTGATCTATGGCCCACTCAGCACCACCATTAGTGATTCCTGAGCACAGAGCCAGGAATAATCCCTAAGCACTGCTGAGTGGGACCCAAAAACAAAAACAGAGACACACACCAAAAAAATGAGGGCCACTGCAGAGTCAGCTGGGAGATAGCTCAATAGGCAAAGAATGTGTGTAGCATGCTTGAAGCTGGGTATGTGCCTTGGGTGTGATCCATATAAAAGTGTAATAAGAAGATAAGGAAGAGTGTACAAATGGCCCCTATGCAAATATTTAATGTGCAGTCCAGAGAGTTTTACAACAAAATTCAGTGAAAAGCTTCCTCACTTCCTTCACTCTTAGAATATTATTATTATTAATATTATTATTATTATTATTATAATTATTATTATTATTGTTGGGCTGGAGTGATAGCCCAGTGGTAGGGTGTTTGCCTTGCATGCAGCGGGCCTGGCTGAGCCCAGGTTCAATTCCTCCGCTCCTCTCGGCGAGCCCAGCAAGCTACTGAGAGTATCTCGCCTGCACAGCAAAGCCTGGCAAGCTCCCCATGATGTATTCGATATGCCAAATACAGTAACAACAACTCTCATGATGGAGATGTTACTGGGTCCACTCGAGCTAATCGATGAATAACGGGAGGACCATGACTGTGATTATTATTATTATTATTGTTATTATTATTAGTATTATCAGCAAGGGGTGGGGGTGATTAGGAGATCCACTCCTGGCAATATTTTTGGAATTTTATGTTTTGTGGTGCTGTGCAACATGAGAATTTTTGTGGGGGAGAGGGCATTCCTGGTACAGTGCTCAGGGGAGGGACTATATGTCACCAGCGATTGAACCTTGGCCTCCAGCATGCACTCCAGCCCTTAAAGCTCTCTCCATGGCCCTACAGAGTTAACCCTTTCACAAAGAGACAGGGTCTGGTCTGATCATACAGTCAGCACAGTCTATTTCTTGGTGGACTTCAAGCTCGATACGAATACATTTCCATTTTCTCTCTTGATGCCAAAGCACATGGGTCCTAGTTGGAAATTCTTCACATCGGCTGAAATTTCCTTGGGGCAGATTGTGGTCCCTCAGATGCTTGGCAGCTCCTTTGTACAGTGCTGCTTCTTGCACACACTGTTAGTTAAACAACTGTGGTACAAACAGGACAAAATCTAGTTACACCCATGCTTCCAGTCGAACTCTCAGCCAGACATTATCACTCCAGGATGCTTTCCGTTCTCTCAAGGATGACCATATACCTTCCAAAAGGAAATAAACAGTCCTTTTATTGCGATAAGAAGAAACTCATGCTTTATGGCATTTGAGTATGTGTAATGAGAGCAATGTGGATAAGCATAGTAATGAGAAATCAAAAGAGCTTGGGAATTAGGGATTC